AATAAAAGATAAATTGCAGTAATGTAAACAACACAATCATAATCAGTATGAAAAATATAAAACCAACCTGTCATAGATTAATTAGATGATTTAGTGGGTAAAGTAGAGAATGTTGGTAAGCAAGTTATTCATTCTATTGAATACAAACATGACCATGATAAACAAATAGTATCTAAAAAATTATTTTCATTATGATTATGATCATATATTTCCAACACCAGCAACACCATCAGAATCATCGTTTGAAAAGAAATATTTTAAGAAAGATATCTAAAGATTAGAATTAGAAAATCGATTGAAAGCAATAGAAGACGAAAAGAAGAAAAAATTACACATTTATGATCTAAATTAACTAAATATCTTAATATTGCTAATGATACTGCATTTGGTTTCAGACCTGCAAGTAAATATTGGTGATACATAAGTGAAATTATTTAACAATGTTTTATCATACAAGGGAAAAAATATGAAGGTGCTGATGGATTATTACGTCTACTAACAAATAAAACATTATCAAATATTGAATATACAGACTAAGATTTAGGAAATTATAAAGAAATTGCAATTAAAACGCATCTCATATTTAAAGATTATGATCCAGATACTAATCAAGTTCGAACAAATGTTGGAGAAATATGAAATAAAATATTTAAAGGATTTTGGGGACAAAGAACAAAATCAGTTACTGGAATGAGTGTGAAATAATATAATGAAAAACCTGTTGAAAATGTTTGCATTAATGATGTACAGGATCTCACAGATAGCTTATTAGTGATACATGGTGAAGAAAAAGCTGGAAATAATTATTATAACGAAAAAGTAAATGTCATAAAGATGTTAACAGATTATTCTCAAGATTTTTATTACTCAAAGCCAAAAGTTATTCCATATCTGATTCGATTTTTATATAGTATATCACATTCGTTTTGGACATCTGAAAAACCTTGGTGCAGGAATTATAAATTGGGCAATTCATTATTTACCATTAGAATTACACCTTCCTGGATATAATTGTTGTGGACCTGATCTTAAAACTCGATTAGTACATGGTGATTAAGGAATTAATTATATATGGTCTAAATATTGCTATTAAAAAACAGGTAAGAAATAATATGAGAAAACATATTGAAAAAACTGGAACACTCATTACTTCTTTACCTATCAATGGTACATCAGGAAGCTATAATTTTCACAATAAATTATTTTATTAAGTAGGTATTGAACTAGATGACGATGATGTAGCGATGAATCAGTTAAATAATTTATCACACTTGATTACACAATCATATCTCATTATTTTATTTGGTATATTAAGTAGAAATATTAATAATTTATAAATTAACCATTTTCTGAATTATTTTTCGTTTGTAAAATTAATCATATCGGAGCAAATATCAAGTTAGAAGGTTTAATTCTCAATGTCTCCTGAGATATTGTTACAGGGTTATTGTTTATGACCAAATGCTGTGAGAGTTTTGCTTAAATCAGGGATCCATGAAATTTTGAGAGACTATCATGTTGGTGTTTATGATGAGTTTGTTGTCTTTAAACCATTTTACTAGTGCACATAAAGTTTTGTGAGTTTCTTTTTCTAATAATTGTTGTGGTTTTGCTTTGATGATTATGTTTGTGTCATCTGCAAAAAAATTAATTTTGTTATTCCTTAATGCCAAAGACATGTCATTTATGTATATAAAGCCCAAGTATTGGCCCAAGGATGGATTCTTGCGCGACTCCACAATTTATCATTGGAGGGCAGGAGTAGTATGAAGAGATTTTGTTTTCTTTAGTGTGCTGGAGGGCAACTATTTGGCTACGGTTTGATAAATATGATTTTATCCATTGGCCTGCAATGTGTCGAATCCCTAGCATTTCTAGTTTTCTTAAAAGTATGTGATGGATGTTAAATTAATCATATTGAAGCAAATATTGAGTTAGAAGGTTTAATTTTCAATGTACAATCATTAGGTGACATTAAGAAAAAAGAAGTAAAACAACCTATTATTTAAAAAAAATAAATTAAATATGTATTTAACCTAAAGATTAAAGTTATAAATCTGGATAATAATTATTCCTACATGTCATAGTTTCAATATAATAAATGCCAGAAGTTAAATATGCTATGGATACACCTAAAGAGTATAATTTTCATAATAAAAAATTACATAATTTAGTACTGGTTTAGTCTCATGATGCTAAATATTAAACAATTAACAAATATTGTACATCATATATTAGATCCTATTGAAGATAATGATGCAGTAAATTTACGATATTTAAGAAATAATGTATTTATGTTAGTGAATATATATGCATCATTGATAAATACTGTAGAATGTAAGTTTCATATGTCTGGTGATATGTACATTGAAGTTCCCTACAGTGTTCAAATTGCACAGTTTGAAGCAAATGTAGATATTAAATATTTTTATGCCTTGGTTATATCGAAAGATGGTGGAGAAAACGGATATGAGTTAAAGGAACCATTACAATTCAATAAAGAAGATATAATATTTTTATGAATCAGTAAATATGCTAAGAGTATATCCCTGGAATTATCCATTCATGTAATAATTTATTTACAATTATATGTTACATAAATGGATGTGTATTGCTTGAAATGTAAAAAAATTTCTGATACATTTCAGAACAAAACAACAAAAAATAGAAGTAATTACCATGCATGGGCATTTTGAAATGGAATTTAATTAGGAGAAAATATTCAGTTTAATGTTGAAGAAGTGTGTAAATGTTCAGTGTAATGTTGAAAAAGTGTGGAAAAGGTAATTTGATTCTGTACATTTGTATGTGTTGTTTTCCGTTCGCTTTTTGTTTGTTCAGTGCTTGTTGTTTGTGGTAATATTCTAAAAAGAATATACACACTGATTTACCTAATTCTGTGTCTTGGAGGATTAGGAAATATTTCCACATTTGAACTAGCGACGTCCGACTTTTTCTATGACGTAATTTCGCTAGGCTTCTTCTTCCCCCTTTCAGATTGACTGAGACTATTTGTGAGGCTTTGCCTGCAACATTTCATCATGTGAACGGCTGCCTGAGACGTAGAAAATCTGAATGATGCTCGAGATGTCACGGTTAATTTATGTTACCAGACCTGAACAAAAAAGATGTCTTTTAATTCTATGAGGATTGTTGACATGATCCATCCACATATTATTAGAAAGATAATTGGACATTGTGCTTTATGAGTCCACAACCAAGCTGATTTTAATAAAGCACCAGATTGTTTCAAAATCTGTTTTAATATTTAATTGTTTAATGTCATGTTTAAAACTGTAATGGATCATTTTATTTTATACACCAAACAAAGTAGTTGCATATTATTTCCTCAACAAACATTTCAATACAATAAAACCCTAAAAATTGATTTAAAAAACTTAATTCTGAAGCTTCATACTAGTAAATACGTTTGATCAATAAAAATTATTGCTTTTATTATTATAAATAGAGCTCAGCATCTCTTTTGTGCTTAGTACACAGTGAAGTAGCTACAGTTACTTTAAAAATGATCAAACTTAGTGCCTACTTAGAACTTTTAGTCTACCTTTAAGCCTAGAACATTTCTAATTTAATTTTGTGTATTTTTGCTTATTTAAAGGGTTCTGCATATTAGACAAAACTTTTGAAATAATACGATAAAAATTGATAAGAAGTTTTACAAATATTTTTTTTTGTCACACTGTGTGTTCTTGTCCCGTGTAAAATAAGTTAAATGATGTATGGGTGTATCCAAAGAAAAAAACAACAACATACAAACAAATTTGTTTGAATTTAAAATGTAAATGCCTCTTCGAACTGCGGAACATTGTGATTCATAGTTTTCTCTTTTCAAGGAGCACCCAGCCTTTCTTGATCTCCATAGAAAGGATTGGTTTACCATAATTTCAAAACATTTTCCAATGGATGTAAGCAGGTCCAACATACAGGAGTGTGAATAAAAAGGTCAATTAATGGAACTCATTGTTCAATGGAAAAATTACTATTTTTCATCTGATGGAAAAGTGGCATTTAGTAATTTTTGTGAAAACATATTTAGTATAAAAAAATTCCAAATTTTCCAGCAGTCTAACAAATAGGTTATTTCAAATACAATTATTATTATTATTATTATTATTATTATTATTATTATTATTATTATTATTATTATTATTATTATACTGGATTTTATCACCATTTACAGGTACTCATTTATCAGATACTCAGAGAAAATTTTCCACAAACCATTTGTCTTCTTGCATCTTGCTTGTCATCTTCAACAGATGATAATTTAAAACAAGAACATTGTTTTATACTTTATCAATTTTTAAGATACGATTCAACAAATAACAAATCAATTAACAAACAGAAATACTTAAATTAAGTTAATGTTTGTATACAACAATTTTTATATAAAAACATTAAATTAAATTGTTTTGAAAGTACTTGATTTTTTACCAGAAATTTGTTACAGAACTTTAAAAATGAAATACACTCGAAACTGCAATCACAATTTTTGAAGTATTCTATATTGCTTTTTATTTTAAAATAACTGTTTACATGTAAATGTTAAATTGCATATTTTAAAGCTTTTAAGGCAATTAATGTCATATTTTAGACATTTCTAATTTATATATAACTGGACACTAGGTATAAACTTGATTTGGGCAGGGAAATTGAGTTTAATTTCATAAAAGAATTTTTTATAACCAATAGCATGAAAACTTTTTACTTTATTCAATGAATTTTCAATATTTTCATGGAAAATGTGTTGTACTTATATTTCTGAACAACTATCTTTACCATGTTTAGTTTTCAAAATTTTTATTTTAAATGACATAATCATAACAAATATTTTTTTATAAGGTATTCATTCTTACAATTATATATGTGAATAAAACATGACTAATTAATAAAATCATTAACACAAATAAAAATATGTCACAACTATACTTCCCCAAAAACGAGAATTATAAGTGAGAAAAAATGTCTTCATAAAATTTGTTTAATAAAATGTGAATTATATTTATGTTATCTCATTGCCAATAAATTTGTTTTTGGAAACATTTATTAATTTCACATATTGCTTTTAAAAAAATTCTAAAAGATACCAGATTTTTAATAATTGTCTATCAGTTATATCAAAAAGATATTGAGATAATATTCATCAATCATTTTTAAACAAATAAAAATCTTTTAAAGTTTAATTTATTTTGATGTAGTGATGAAAATTGTGATAACAGTATATTCAGACATACCCATCATTTCAATGAAATTCCTTCCTTAAAGGGCAAGTAGTCATTTACCTCAATATTAACATTATTAAGATTAATCTAATCATCCAATTGAAGTTTTAAGACATTTCTAAAAGTATCATAAAATCTTCTGTAAATTAATTGGGCGTGTGACAACAAAAAGTAGGTTCTACAATACATACCAAAATGTGGTTGTTCTCTTTAGTAAATTATTTATTTTTATACAAGAAAACATTTATTTACAGTTTTATTTCACATCATATACAAGAACTGAAGAAAATAGAAATCAGAGAATATTGAATGCTGTAGTATCTTTTGAAGAATATAGTGATTGAACATTTTTTAACTAAGCATTGTATTTTTGCACCCTCTTTTGATTCTTGATTTAAAACAATCTAAGTAAGCTAATTTCTGCAGTAAGGAATGCAATTCCTAGGCTTTCTTGGGATATGACATTCCATAAAACATATTTGCACTCAATCCCAAGCCTACAAGACACAAACCTACAGTTATTGTAAAGAGAACTTTATCCAAAGGACCTCCTTTCAGGTGAACTGGAACTCCATCAGCAAGCTGTGGAAAAAGAAAGAGAAACAAGGAATTTAATATAAAGAAGAAAATTTAGTACAATGCACAATAATTCTCTAATGAAGCAATATTGTCATTTGTTAAGAAGTTGGCTATACTTTTTTTATAACTAAGAAAAGTGCAGACAAACAGTAGATCTATTATGCAATTAATCTATTTCATAAAATAGTGAGATAATCATTTATTTGTCAAAATGCTCAAATTCAGGAGAAAATATATTGAATTGTTATTACCACTGAAGTACAATGGAGCAATTCTTGGATCATAATATTATATTCAATAATTGTCACAACAACAAAATGTGCAGTGTGAGGTGTTTCAATGCATTGTATTAAATCATTTTTCAATGCTTTACTATAGTGCTGGACTCTGTACAATGCAGGTTATATACAGAGTGAGAATTACAAATTTTTCGTCATTAGTTCTATTAAACACAATTGTGTGGCCGAATATCTTACCTGGAAACGTTCCATCTTCAAACGCATTGATAGTGGAACTTGCCCATATTTTACATTGGTACCAGGAATGGTCTTAGAAGAGGACATTTTACGAGCAGGTATTGAATCCTGAGCAAGGATTACAATTATAGAGTCAAATATAATAATAACTGGGTGAATCATTTTTTTCAGATGTAAGTAAAGAACCTGTAATTGATTTTTCTGGTGGAGAGTAGTCAGAGTGGCACTTTGAACATTGCTACAGTGAACCAATTATGTCCAAAATTATTGAAAAAAAAAGAAAATTATAAACCAACAATAATATATTTTTTAAATAATGTATAATTTGTCAAAATAATCATGAACAGGTCCTTCATTGTGTAACTTTGAATAATTAACTAAACTTGGAAAATAAAAATTATTAAGAGTGATATTGGCCATTCTTTCACTTACGATAGGACAGTATGGGGTAGTCCCATGACAGCCAATTAGCCGTTGAGTGAAATTATTGAGTTGATAGTACATCGTGGCTTATTTCTTCGTGCTTGTAACGGACTCCGACGAGCAGAAAGACTTTCGGGCAGGCAGATGCTATATATAATGTCGCGCAGAGCGTGAAGTGGGATACGTGCCAGAATTTAAGCTCCTGCCCTGGAACCCTTTAGAGGTGGATTTGAATCCCACGGCGCAGTCTCAGTCTCATAAAAAAATATTGCGCGCGCTTTGAATAAATGGTAGAGAATTGCGAATGAGACGTAAAGAGGTAAAAACATTACAGTACTGATGCACTAGGGAAATAGATATGTGTGTTTGTACGTAAACATACTGCGATCTTATTGACATGCTATAAACATGACGTGGGCTTGTAAGATACTAGTTTTGTCTCGGAGACAAACGAAAATCAATATATATATATATATATATATATATATATA